TGTATATATGCATATGTGTGTGTGTGTGTGTGTGTGTGTGTGTGTATATATGCATATGTATGTATGTGTGTGTGTGTGTGTGTATATATATATATATATATGCCCGTGTGTGTGTGTATATATGCATGTATATATGCATGTATGTATATATATCAAAACGTTTTCTTTCCTGTCTTTTTCAATTCTCATGCTACATGCTTTCAACATTTTATCAACTTGTTGCAAAAATGGATTTTGTGATACTGCAAAAAGACTATAATCCTATGATGAATACATGTTTGTGACATGAATTTGCCTTCTAATTACTATTTCTTACTATTTACTGCTTCTCTCTGGTTGTACTATTGACTTTCTGTGATATTTTATGCAAATATCAGTTTATAAAATAAAGTAAAACCAATTAATGCAAAGTGCTTGGTAAAATTGGAAAAAAACACATTTCTTCTTCCTTTCCTATAATAAAGTAGAGTAGATTGAGGGTGAAGGGGTTGTACTCTTGAATCTTTGAGGCATTAGTAGATATGGAGAAAGCTTTCATAAAAAGGTACATGAGAGAACCGCTGGTCAACTCAAGCAGAAATTAAAACCGATGTTTTGTTTAACAGTGATACAAAATTATGAAGGCTATGCTTAATTACTTTAGTTTAACTACCTATTTGCATTTACATTGATAGCCTGGGCAGATGATCTTGGAAATTTTCCTGTGTCATATATGACATTCCCCCTTTTTTTGTACTGCTAAGACAAACTGTTACGGATTACACTTGCTATAACATACACAGGAATGTTTATTTTTATTTTGGCTGTCCAAACTTAGCAAACACAAATTGAATCATATGTTTCTTGTGGTATTGTTTGAAGGTCCCAATAACGATGTTGTCCCTCACAGTTCGTATCCTGCGAACCTAAAACTACACCTAACATCGCAATTTCGACGTCTGAAATCTGTGTTTCATTATTTATGTAACCTCTGGCTTATCAGCGCTTGTTTGGTCATAGTCGGGGGAGGCTTCTGTTGCCAAGTCTCCCATCCAGCATTAGGGTTTTGAAGACAGGCCAGCCTCAGTATTCAGAGGCACAATTTACAACCAGAAAGTCACACGTTGCAGGGACGCCATGCATGCTGAACTGTGCACTGACTTTTCTAGCCTTCACGTAACAGATTTTTATTGTTTCCAACTGACGGCAATGTTGTACAATAAGAGATAAATGAAATAAGGCACATTTTTTGATTTTGTTAAAAAGGCTTTTACAGAACCTGGCATCCTAGATTGTGAAGAATGTCTGGCAGGAGCTAAATGCAAGCCTGTGTTTGACAGCATAACTAGCTGAGAGATTCTCGTCCAGCTGGACAACCCTATCTTGATTAACAATCGGCCCTCTGTAGTGGTCCGCACAAGATGTCCACTAAATTAGCTGCTCCTCTCAACCATTCAGAGGGATCTTTTACTTTGTGTACAGGAATCAATGCTTGGCTAGAAGAGATAACCAGGGGCACTGCACAGATAGAGTACTGTTTTCAGCTCTGACAATTGTTATGACTGTGTCTGTGATGAAGGAAATTAGCTGAAAGCCTCATCTGTTCGCTATTTTTTTTTATGAAGCATACCATAGTATTCAGATTTTTTAACAAATAGGACTGTAGATATGCGTATACAGAACCATACTTCTTTACGTGACACTACACAGCGGAATTAAGCAGATATAGTGCAGCGATTAAAAAGTCTTTCAGCCTGAATGCTTCTAGCTAAAGTCCCTTGAATAAGTTTACCTCTGTTTGTCCAGCAGAATATTCAGTTGTCTGAAAAAAAGGTTGTTTGTGTTTTTAAGCATTGACTAGGTGATTGAATGTCAGTGTCATAAAAAGAAACAAAGACAGTTCAAGTAAAGCATATGCTCACCGTTTGGATTGTAATAGAATAGCGAAGAACACTGGGTGTCAGCTTCAGACTGGTGTGGTGCACTGCTGTTGGAGCAAGTTGCATTCCTGTGGTAAAATACTCCATGCAGCATCATTAGGCTCTTGGGATTAAACCATTAGCTAAAGCAAAGAAAAAAAAGTAAAGGACAGGTTGAACTTCTGACATTTCATGACTTAAAAAAAATCCCAAGGTGGGTGCCATGAGCAGTGATGATCAGGAAATCAGTTTGCATTAAAGGAACAATTGCTGTTCTGCGTTTGACCCTCCAAAGTACACCTGGCCCAAGGCAAAGCCTAGGGCTACAACCGAGGCGGCTACTTTTGCAGGTGTCATTTCAGCCACACACTGATTTCTACTGCACCATGCAATAAATGATCAAGTACTGGACAATAATATTTCCCTTTCCTTTTATTGTTGGTTGTATTTGCTCAAGAATTATATGTAAATTAATTCCCAGTAAGCCACCAGTAATTATAATTTGGAATCCAGTTTAATGAAGAGAGTATGCATGAAATTGAGAAACCCAAAAGATTATACCTGATGATGATTATGTATAATTTGTCATTGTTTATAGTTCCTCTATGTTTCCAGTCCCCTAAGAAATTAGGCAATTGTAGGATTGTAAGATGCATCACATGGGCTTTCTGGCATAGTGGTGCTATTTTCATATTGGAAGCAGGAGATTATATGTGTATTCATGTATGTGTGTATGCGTGTGTGTATTTTTATATATACAGTGGAACCTTGGAACTCGAACAACTGACATTGAATGGATCTGTTGAATTTTTTTCGTCTTGTACCTCTTGGAACTCTAATGTTCCTGCTGAAACTTGTACGGGGTGAGATGCATTCAACTGTACCAATTCAGACCTCAAATGGATCGGTGGAGAAAAATCTAACCGCAACTCGAACAAAAACTCAGAACACGACAAAGCAAAATAACTTGTACAGATGGAAATGCGTCTCCGATGGGCTGATACAAAGGCAAATGGACCTACTGGGATGCTGATGCCTATGAATCGCTGTCTCGCAGTACCTCTCCACTGAGTTCGACGTGCGAAAGCTGTGTTCCTGTGTTCGGTGTGAATTTTTTGTGCTTTTATCTAAAGAACATTTAGTGATACAGTAATTATGGCCCCTAAGAAAGTGAGCAGTAATAGCAGAAAACCAAAGAGTAAAAGTGAAAGTAACTGTAGAACTTAAAAAGGAAATTATAGCGAGACTTCAAGGTGCCGCATGTGTGTCTGCTCTCTCTTCGGAGTATGGGATTGGCTTTTATTTAATTTTTATTACTTTTGTAATGTGTGATTGTTTGTTTATTTATTTATATTTTATGTGTGTATTAGCTTTAAATTGATCGTCAATGCTTTTTATAATTGGTCAGCCTGGTATACAGTATAAGTTTAAACAGGCAATCATTTGGGGGTCTGGAACGAATGAAATTCATTTAAATTATTTCTTGTGGGGAAATTGGACTTGGACCTCAACCAAATCGCAACTCGACCAGCCTTTTAGAACGAACGAATGAAGTTCATGTCCCAAGGAACCATTGTGTATGTCTATCTGTCTACACACACACACACTGGATGAACAGGAATATTTTAGGAAATGCATTTTAGTACAATTTATATATATAAATTGTGTGTGTGTGTGTATATAAATTGTGTGTGTGTGTGTGTGTGTATGTATGTATATATAAATTGTGTGTGTGTGTGTATATATAAATTGTGTGTGTGTGTATATATAAATTGTGTGTGTGTGTGTGTGTGTGTGTGTGTATATATATATATGTGTGTGTGTGTGTGTGTGTGTGTGTATATATATTAGTGCTGTCAAACGATTAAAATTTTTAATCTGATTAATCACAGGGTTGCTGTGGATTAATTTCGATTAATCACGATTAAATGTCATTCATTTTTAATCTATATTACTTGCATTTCATTTTGCATGAGCACACAGACTCAAGAAAAAAGGGAATATATATATATGCACTTAACATGTTTATTGAACATCTTGAACAAGACTCGGATGCATTCCATCTGCCACAGAAGTGCAATACCATGGACCCATATCAAAAAGCAAGATTTTTTGCTTAGCCGGACAACTTGTCGGATTTAAGGTACCTCCGTTTAAATGGTCTTCATCTTCGTTCACTAACAAATAGCCCGAAGTACCGTAAATCTGACAAATAATCCGACTAATCATGAAGTCCAATTCTAGCCCAGTTAATTGCCATTGTTAGCAACATCAGTTGATAACACATTACCCGCGGTGCTTCACGTATAAAACTCCGTAGCAACACGTCAATAGATAAGTTGGTCGGTATAGTGTGTGCGACCGATTTAATGAGCCACAAATGAGAAGCAGTGCTTAAACAGTATAAAACTACAACTTTCCCTTCTGTTGATAAAAGGCGCAGCCATCTTGGATTCTGAACTCGGGAGTCAGGATCCTCTGTGCTGCTCCGAGATATTTCTCGGATCTCCGAGAAACAGGAGCGCACATGTCGTCACTTCCGGCTTCAAAACTGGAATCCAACTCGGAATACGTAGTATACAGAGTTCCGAGGGCAAATGGAACGCACCAAAACTGCCCGAAATGGGTTGACAGAGACATTTCAGGGATTTTGAGTCATTCTGCGCTGCAGATGGGTTTATTGCGTTAAAAATTTTAATCAGATTAATCATGATGATGGATTAATCCGCGTTAACCCATTAATACACACACACATACACACACACACACACACACACTGTGTGTGTATGTGTGTATATATATATATGTATGTATATGTGTATGTATGTATATATGTATATGTGTGTATATAAATATATATATATATATATATGTATGTATATGTGTATGTATGTATGTATGTATATGTGTATGTATGTATATATGTATATGTGTATGTATGTATATATGTATATGTGTATGTATGTATATATGTATATGTATGTGTATGTATGTATGTATATATATATACACATACACACACACACACACACACACACACACACACACACACATAATGTATGTATGTATGTTTGTGTGTGTGTGTATAAATTTTTCTCTCTCTCTTAACAGACAGATGACCGTACAGATCAGTCTGAACAGGGGCCAGTCCTTCATTGCAAATGAAAACATCTCTGCCACGACATGTGTAAGTCGTTGGAGTTGCTTGGGTTTTCCCTCTGTATTTCTGGTGGATATTCATGGTAGGTAACTGCAGCCCCTGTTTTGCTGCCCTAGTCCAGCGGCATAGGGGTGCTCATCTTCTTCCTGGTGCTGCTCCTGCTTGCGGCCCTGGCTGCGATGTGGTGGTTCTGGCCTCTCTGCTGCACTGTGGTAAGTGACAGACTTGCACAGCAGAGTATGCTTACTTATTGTTCATTTATGTTTTCCCTGTTTTATATTGATCATTCTGACTTTTTAAAAATTTGGTCTTTTCTGACCATTTAAAAACGTTCCTTTTTTGTGATCATTTCTTTAGAATTTTTGAGTTACATTGTCCCTTAGTATACATTTCACAGTGACAATAAATAGTCAATATACAGGTATCTGTTGACCTGCATCAGCATTTGGGACCAGGACCACCAGATGCAAATCGATTTGGACGTATGCACAACGTTAAATACAATATTGTTATATACACTCAGCACTCTACAGCAAATAATGTAAATATAAAATCATAGCACTTTATAATAAAAAGAGATTGCACTTAAATTTTACAAAAAGAAAAGGCACGAATGGCACTACAAAATCAAAAGATGCATGCAGTAGGAAGCAGTGGGAGCTGAGAGAACGGTGCCTGAAACTGTCCAAAAATATTTTTTCAGGCTTCTCTCGATCAGTGTACATTATCTACTATGGATTTCGTACGTGAGTGCAGACGTTTCTCAATAAGTCAACGGACCCCTGCATTATGTTTTATAACTCATAACATACTTCTGTAACTTGTAGCATACTTCTCCACAAAGTGTTTTTTAGGTTTGTGCAGTACATCGTAATGTATGAAGTATACTAAAGGAAGAAGATTTCTGAAATCTACTGTAATACTGATGCAATAAGTACTTGCCTTTATAGGATACTAGGGCTCTGCAATATGACGATATACAGTATATTGAATGACAAGATAAAAACATCTATCGTTTCATATTATGCTCTATCGTTTATTCCGTGATGTCGCTAAATACATATTATGGCAACATTTTTCATCACTTGGAAGAAATTTTGCGATGTTATATGCCACCACATGGGATGTGGCACGTGTGTGGAAGTTCTTATTGGACTTCATTGTTTATGACCCACAGAAGACAATCCACAAATATGTACCATGATCTAAATATGATTGTGTTCTGTAAAGTCATATCCATGAAAATATGGAGCAATTTGTACATGTGAAACGTGTTTTGCACATTTGTGGATCATGTCCTGTGTATTTTTTAACATTTGTGACGTCCCTCCTATTGATTTGTGGATTTTTGTCCAGTTTTTAATGCTACAGAGCCCCCTAAGAGGTCTGGGTGGGAAAATATTTTTTCAAATAGTTTTGTGTTCATTCACAATAGTTTTGCGATCCCACTACTATGGGTGTAAATCACAGCTTTCCTCGCAATACGATACAATATCGATTCCTTAAGGCAACAGTTCGATACCTCAGAAATTCCCATGATACGATTCGATTAATTTTGATACTTGGGATAGTAGTTGAAATGATGAAATTTCACACGATCCTTTACATTTCAATGAATTAAAAAAGGCAAATATAATTAGCATTTTATCATATTTAATTGAACTGTAAACAGAATCTAGTGTAGTCAAGTACATCCCATAAATCAAGCAAAATAAAGTGCAATAAGGCAAAAATAAAAACTTTGGATGGATGTAGATTAACATGGTGACTAATTTTTATTTTGAATCAAGTCTGCTCCAGATAAATACAAAAGTGTAACCAAAAGTATGTCCATAACTGTCATGACCTACTCGTATGACCCAGAATTGTGTGGTATGCCCCTCATTAACTTTGCGTGCAATCACGATTGTTCCCAGCTGCTTCTTATTGTTTCGTCTAGTCCTGTATATTTAAGTCCACGCCAGAGTCTGTCGCCCAGATCTGTCATTGAAGTTTTCCCTGTGTTATGTGCTGTGCTTGCAATAACCCCCCCCCCCCCATTTGTTGGATTTCCGCCTTCCTGACCCTAATTCCTTGTTCCCTGCTCGCTCGCCCTATGCTGGGATACAACAATAACAAGTAAAATAAAGTGCAATAAAGTCAAATAAAAAACATTGCATGGACAGACATGTAGAATGAGGAAGATCAACATTACTGACTTCTGCAGTGAAACAAGTATGTCAGTATTGTGCTTTGAGAGGTTTTTTTTTTTTTTTTTTTTTTTTTAAATTAAATGGTCAACGTGTTCAGGAGATTGTGTGCTCTGAGCATAGCGTCCTACGTCACCTGCCGTACGAAACAAACACTCTGAAGGTAGGCTAGCTTGCGAGCTACTTATAAATGACCAAGTCAAAATTATCTACCTACTATAAAAATGCAAAACATATTTATGTATAAAATAGTGAGTATTCCTTAATATTATTAATAATAACAATAATAATAATAATTATTATTAATAATTTCCCTTTGGGATGAATAAAGTATTTTTTAATTGAACTGGGATTTTAGTTCCTTCACCTTTCTCTTTCTCAGCTCGCTTTTCGGAGGGAAGTTAATGTCGTAGTTTTTATGAACAGTCTGAAAATGCCGCTCCACATTTCCCTCCTTCGGAATAGTAATGGTAGACTGACAGATAAAGCAAACGCACTTCGAATATGACATGGTGGAAAAAAAAACAGTCCTCCTCCCTTTCCGTATGGAAGTGGCAGGTTTTTGGCTTCTTACTTGGTCCAGCTCCCCCATTCATTTTTATACCGTTTCTTAAGTTTAGTAGAAATAAATTGGAGGCTAACTAGGGGACTCAGTAGCTTGCAGCAGCTGGCGCGGTTAAACGCATCATCCATCCTCTATTTTTTTTATGCCATAAGATCTACACACACTACCTTTGCAATCGACCAGTACGTAGCGATCGACGTATAGACCATGTATACGTCAGAGTGGATCATGAAACCAATACTGGAACAGGCAAGAAAATTAAAAACGCATGTATCGATATTTATGCGGTCACATCAATGCATCGGATCGTTTGCTGTTGAATCGATATATCGATACAAATCGATGTATTGTTACACCCCTACCCACCACACTTGCCCACTTGCTGTTTGCTGCAATGTGACAGCATGGATTAACCTAAATAATAAACATGTCCTGTAAAGTGTGCTTTACGCATTAAACTATCGGGAACAATATCACTTTAATATAATATGTTTTATACATATTAATATTCATACTGTCTATTCACCACCAGTGACTTTAAGCGAGACAGTGTGAAGTGCAGACTTGCAAACGATGAAATATAGTACAAACATTGAAAGATATTACAGCCAGAAAACTGCATACAAAGCAGACTTTACCGCGATGTTGGTGTCAAGATTTAAACTTGAACCCAAACTACTTTGGGGCTCTGTATACTGCAGCTGATCTGTAGAAAGAAAGAAGTCACAAATACATCACTTCCTACAAATATGTATTTTTATTTGTGCTGTGTAAAATCATTTCCACAAAAATACGGAGCAAAAAAAGAGTTCTGCATATTTGTGGATCACTTCCTGCCTGTTTCTGAATCTCATTGCATTTTCATGCATATATATATATATATATATAATATAAAAATAAATATATGAAAAATATAAAATCAAGGTTTACCGCTTTGGGGGAGGGCAGACAGACACCAACAGGATTCATGGTGTTCATGTGTTTCTTTTAATGGCAGCAGTCAAAAAAACTCAGATATTTTTGTCTGCTTTTCAGGTGGTTGAAGAGACATATTTTCTCACGCACGCTCTCTGTCCGATGGTGGGAGTGCGCTAACCACATGCGTGCGCATCGGGGCGGAACTCCGCCAGGCGCGATACCGATAGCAGAGGAGAATTGTAAACGCGCGACCATGTAGAGACCAAAGAGATACGCTGTTGTGCAAATAAGATAAATAACATCAGGCTATGTAGTTTGTTTAATAAAAGGACAATGTATGGACCTGTTCGATAGGAAAGGTAACCTTAAATGAGTTCTGTTGTGATCTGGTGCTATATAGAAAATAAAATTAACTTCACCTTCAAGGGGGTGTGTGCCGTTGGGGGGGGGGGGGGCACCCCCCTAATATAATGGTAGGGGAAACACTACATCTACACTACTATATCATTATCGGGATATGCGATGACTTATATCGGGATATGAGATGACTTATATCAGGATATGAGATTTTGGTCATCGCACAGCCCTACAAGATGCTATTTATTTTAACATAGTTGTTACTGTCCATCTGCTTTTCTGAAAATGTAAACAGAAACATGACAAAATAGCAGCAAGCTTTAATGTAGTGTAAAATTAATTACCTGTAGATTGTGTGCACGATCGAAACAGTCCTCAAAGGGCATAGAGTTCTATAGTGCAACAGAAGTGTTTGCTTCCTAGTGACAAAGCTTTATTTAGAACAAGGAAATAAAGAAACCAGGTGATGTCATTGTTTCGGTTTGGTTTGGTTTGAGCAGATGTTAGGCCCAGTTGTGTTATGTGCAATTAAACAAACATACATGTATTGCCTGCTCAATATGCAAAATACATTTCCTGTGGCAGATATGTAATTAAAAATCAAATGAAGTGTCTTTATGAATCCGAATAATCTGGGGGAAAAAGTGATATCTGCCAGGGTATCCACATACATAAGTTTAACTTTTTATTGCTCTATAAAAGACTAAGATGAAATTTTAACATGCATGAAAAGGTGTTATCAACATTCATAGCATAGGTGGACGATTTTGGCAGTTAAATGCTGCTGTTTTGCCACAGAAGTGGCTCAATAGCAAAAAACAATATATTAATACTAATGTTATTTCTAAAATACAATATTTCCAAGTTTCCTGGCATGTTTAATTTTTAGGGTATTAAAAGTGTGTGTGTGTTTTAAGGGCACAAACCTGGACATATATACCAGGAACCTGATGCATGAAATGATGCACAAAATAAAATAGAAGTCATTTCATTTTTTCTGTTGAAGAGTGATAGTCTAGAGGGCAATTAGGCCAATTATGTCCTATTACTGTGTGTCAGAATCCATACTAAGTCACTTAATTTTTGTAATAATTTACATGTCATCCAATTTGTCTGGAAGATTTGTAGTTAAATTATGTCATACATATATACAGTGCTCAGATTCACATTGACTCAAAAGGGCAGAATAATTATTTGTTTTTTACATTGCAATAATGTCTTTGATAAATCTAACGTGTGACAACTATTAACAAAATAGCTTTTCAACTGATTTTTTTTTTTTCCTTCCGAAGTTAAATTGGTAAATGGAAAAACCTGTATTTTGAAAACCAACAAACAAGGAAAACGTAAATTCCCTGCAGGACTTCTCTGTGCCTGAATTGTCACACATCCATCTCTGTTTGTTTGTTTGTTTGTTTAATTTGTTTATTTATTTAATTTGTTTGTTTGTTTACTCCCATTTCATTACCAAGTGCTCCATCTGAAAATTGTACTGAAAACGTTAGAGCAGATTTATGCCCGAGGTATCATTTTAAATACTATATATTCCTGGAGGTACAATATATTTGATTTCTCCACCTCAGGATCCTAAGGTTTTGTAAGGCTACATAAGGGGAGGGGGGTGGTGGGATGGATGGAGAGATGTTTACTGCTGAGTTTGTGTCTCAGTGAACATACATTCATTCCCCCGATTCCCTTTCAAACAGGCAATTAACCAGCAGTGGGTTTGTAGTGATGTATGCGGTCGGCTCTCTGTATCCACGGGGATTGGTTCCAGGACCCCCTGTGGATAGCAAAATCCGCAGATGCTCAAGTCCCTTATATACAATGGCACAATATTTGCATATAACCTATGTGCATACTCCTGTATACTTTAAATAATCTCTAGATTACTTATAATTCGTAATACAATGTATATGCCATGTAAATAGTTGTTGTACATACATATATAATAGAGTATATGTTCAGTGCAGAAAAAAAAAATCATTCTTTCTCTCACTTCATTTGCGTGGATTCAGCGTAGTGCTTGGCATGCCGCAAGTTCAAGTTTTGCTTTTTGCAACTTTTTAAATTTTTTTATTTTTTATATTTTCCATCCGATGTTTCTTAAACCTGCCGACTGTAGGGCCAGTTGTGCTTAAAAGAACAGAAGTTCTCAGATCTTAATGTTTCTTATGTGTAAGAACATATAAAGTGGATGCTTGTCATGTTCGTTGGTTTATAGCAAACTAGTTTTTCCTGCTAAGATTGTACATTTCTAATTTAGAAAATCATTTTACTTTTAATGCAAGCCCCTCATTTTCAGGTTTATTTTTCAAAATATGGTAGTTAAAAAGGTTAGGCTATATGTCATGAAACTATCCCTTACTAGTAGTAGGTGTCTTGGGATCATTTGACATTTATAATAAGTGTATGTGTGTGTGTGGCTATTTTTTTTATTATAGGTCATCAGGGACCCTCCTCCAACCCCCCCACCTGCCCCAAAACCTGTGAGTAGATTATAGCCCCATTTCAGAGAATTTTCAGTTCTCTGAAATGCAGATTTCCACATTAGACCTGTACATTTTTATCATTTTCCTGTAGTGCACCTGATTTAGATGGAAACAAGTGCAGTTATACCCGCTAATGAAGGTACTGGTCTGAAAATGACACATAATTCTGTTTGCATTTATTCCTCAAGGAGCCTGAGCCAGATCTACTTCCCAAGAAAAAATGGCCCACTGTAGATGCATCTTACTATGGGGGAAGAGGAGCCGGAGGAATCAGACGCATGGAGGTCAGCAGGCCATGCAGCAGTTCCTTACACTAACAGCTACTTGCAGAAAAATAAAAATTAGGAGCATGTAAATATATGTATGTTCTATTTGCTATGAAGTTGTGTCATGTGTCTTGACAAATATTTAAATTAGATTTTCTGGGTTTGAGTTTGTAACAGGTTTCAGCTTCTCGAATAGTGTGCAGATAAAATATTGCTAGAAACTTCACAAAAAAAACAGAATGTTAGCTCAGCCTACTGTATAGTTAGGTTACGCATAAACAAACAACCAAAAAGCCTTAATACTGAGGGTATGTCAGTCAGGCTGCATAAGATACATTGTACTGTGAAATGCAGTCTTGCTGTGGAAGGTTGTAGGGCTGTAGCACAGCACTGTAGGCGTTAAGGTTACTGTGGTTAAACACTGTGCAGTTCCTGGGTTCAAAAGTTTTAGTCCTTATCTGATGGTTGCCAGTAGTGAAATAATAAACTGTGTTTAAACATTATCTTCATGTCCTTCACTCTAGTGATCTACTGAAGTTTGGTGTCCTAATGAATGTTCTCAGCACGTTTATTCTGGGATAGAGAGCCTCATTGTTTTCCCAGTTGCAGTGTAATTATAAACAGTGTAATATGCTGTTCTTTTTCTTCATTTCAGTATTTAATAACGTCATCCTGCATTTGAGTACATGTTTATTTTTTATATTTTGCATGTATGAGAAGTATAAGTAAAACTATTCATGCTGATTAAAAGCACCTTTTTCAGTGAACAAGTAAAAATAGCATAATGAATGTTAAAGGCTTCTGAGCTCAGTAGCCCGTTGTGATTACTACAGGTTCGCTGGGGGGAAAAGGGCTCCACAGAAGAGGGGGCAAGACTCGAGAAAGCCAAAAATGCTGTGGTGTCCATCCAGGAGGAGGTCGAAGACCCAGTGATAAGAAACCCTCCCCCAAGACCCGCCACCACCTGCCAGCACCATGAATCTAAGTGGTACACTCCTATTAAGGTATGGGTATGTTTGGCAGTCGTGTTAAACATCTCGTCTCTTATATTTCATTGGGTGTCAAGTGGCAAAGTTCTGCCTTAGGCCTTCCTCTTTTTGTAGCCTTGTGGTTACTTCACGATTTGTTTTTTTTTCTTCTTTCTTTCTTTTCAGGGGCGCCTAGATGCCCTGTGGGCTCTTCTGCGGAGGCAATATGACCGAGTTTCTCTAATGAGACCAACGGGAGAAGACAAGGTAAGCCACAGGCGGCAAACCAAGCTTCCTCCCAGACCCAAATCATACCAACCAAACTAGTAACTGAGTACAAGCCCGTTAAGCTGATATTTACTAAGATATGCAGGCAAAGGCCTCTCTCAAACTCAGGCTAAAGAAGTGCCATAGAATGTCAGACATTAATTCTGCAACACAGTGTGATTTACGAAGAGTGCGGTGTGTTTTTCTAACGCGCGTTTGATAGCTGCTGTGAACTCTCATTTCCTTTCCCCACGGTTAGTGGCAGGGCTTCGCAAACAGGATGCAACAAGGCCTAATATGGAAGTTAAAAGTTCAAATTCAACTACTTCGTCTTATCAGTTCCCAAGGAGACAATAGAGAATCTGCACTTGTGTAAATTAAACGGTAGCCTTTGATTTGTTTTTGTGATTAGCTAAAAAAAATTGTGCTATGTCTATTATATATATTTCTTTGAATTCGTTAAAGGTAAAATTGAAAAGGACATGCGGTCGTTAAATGAAGCCTACTTGATGCTCACCTGAAGTGCTGGCAAGTCCGGCTGCAGGGTTTCCCGTTGCCTGCAAGCCACGCATGGGGCCGAAGTAGCACACACATACGCACACGCGCGGCCTTTGATGTCGGGTGGAAACCCTCCGGGGTCATGAATTTTTCAGCTACAGCAGCCGCGGCACCGCGAGGACTCGTACAGGTGCAGAGAGGCAGGTTGTCACGGACATCTGTTCCTCGCGAGGGGCCCGCCGTCCCCATCGGCCGGCCCGCCACACTGCCGGATCGTCAGAAGATGTAGTCTAGGGGAGCATGGCGGCCCCCGCTCTCCCCCTCTTTTGCCCGAGGGGGCTCTGACACCAAAGGTAGCGTGGGGGTGGACACAGCTGCACTCCTAAACTTGCCTGAGGCACAAATACAGAGATCCAAAGTAGCCCGGCTGTGTTGTTGGGGAGACGGGGGAGCAACAGAGGCACTTCAGAGCCAACTTAGCGGAGCAACATCTGCCACCGAGTTTCTGCGGAGCGCCGGGGGACAGCAGGTAGGGAAGGTGGCGGCAAGTTGACAGGCCTTATTAAAGGGGCTGGAGTTCTTTTGAATGGCCCCTCATTGCAACCCAGAGATGCGCTCAGCAGGATTTGTGTATTTTGTTACAAAGCAGCAGGCTGCAAAGTGTACTAAAAAGCTCATTTATAAGTGGCACATAAATTAGCATAATTAGCAGGCGCTGAGTCGTCGGGGTGTGTGCGCAGAGGTGGAATGAGTAAAAGCAGCACATTAGCACCGCTAGCAGCACACAGGTGGCTTCATGCGAGGCCTTCCCGCGCCGGGCGTCCATGTACGTGTGCTGCCGCCCTGATCCCACACTCTCCCTCTGCCATTGATGCCGGAGCCTCATTCCCGCATGCATGGCAGCGCAAACTGGATGGAGGAGCTTCGTGGTGTGTGGTTCCGTGTGTGGTTTCTCTGGGGAGCCATTTGTTTATGGCGGAGCAGGGCATGTTCATGTACACAAGGCAGGAGTCGAGCTTTAAATGACAGATCTGTGTGGTTAAACATACCTATGGAGAATATCAGATATCAGAGTTGACCTTATGCGCACAGCTTGAAATTTTGTAGATCATGTGGAGGTATTGACTTATGGTAGGACCTGATTGGGCAGATGTTTTACTAATTATTATTAATTATTATTACACATTTTATAACTCCATGTGAATTAGTTCTGAATTAGGACAGCTTTGTGATGTATGAATATACTTCTAAATACTGAAAATTCCTAATAAACTATCTTGAGATTGTCCGCCAAGATTATTTGTACTTTGTAAATTTGGTGTTTCTGTGTACAGTGCTGGTGCTGTAGAGGAACTTAATTAATGAACAGGCCCCATCTGGTTTTCTCTTAAATAACGACATTGCAAGGAAGACAGTCCACTGGTAGCAGTGAGCGGGGGTGTCTGAATTTTACAGCTAGATTATTTATTTATTTATCGAGGGGAGGTGGCAGACCCCCCCATGACAGCCTTGTGACCTTAGGAAGCCAGATCATATCGCTTGTGCCTAGGGCTGGGTTATGATAAACTGGGAAGAGGGCAAACGTCCCTGGAGGTGCTGCGTGCCCCCAGTTCTATGCCAGAACCTCAGTGGACTGGTGATGCTGGCCCTCTTGCACAAGGCTCACACATCTTACACATGTGCGGGAAATTAAAGGGAACTCTGATGGGAGAGGAAAAGAAAATCTAACAGCAAATATGGCGGAAACTGAAATTTTCTGTTGTGTTCTGGGTTTCCTGTGATGCTGCCCAGAGGCACTCAGCCGTTGTCCCTCCCCAGCCCCAAATGTAATCATTTGTCATTTCATCAACTCATTTCCTGAGTGCTTTCCGATCGGAGAGGTGGAATCCTCGAGCATTACACGCAGTGTTTCATGGTTCTTTGCTGTCGCCGTGTACAATGACAGGACACATTATCTTGCTTTTTCCATGTAGAAAAATACGCATCAACTGCCAAATGATATTTTTTTTTGTTATTTATTGAATAATGTGGATTGCATACAGCACAGGAAAGGACTTGTCATCGTTTCCTGACCTCTTCTTGATAAATATGTTGTAAGGCTAGATGCAAGCTGCTCATCAGTTCAATGACTTGTGCAGTTGTTGTTCTTTTACACAATAAAGTCACCATGAAATAAATCGATGTAATATCACTTAATTTTATGGGTTAAAACTGCATGGTGCGTGTGCGTGCGCGTTTGCATGCGTGTGTGTGTGTATGTATGTATGTGTGTGTGTGTGTGTGTGTGTGTGTGTGTGTGTGTGTGTGTGTGTATATATAATTATTATAATTATATATATAATATATATATATATAATTTTAATTTTGAAATTTGTTTTATTCTGTTAGTGACAGTAACTGGTGGGAAATGAAGCTTACATGGACTCTTCACAACTGAGTAATTAAACAGTTTTGTAGACTGCAAACTAAAGTTTGATTTAAGACTGTTGCATTTTTAGTGGCATCAGGCATTTTGCTTTAAATGGAAGTATGAAAATGGATGATAAAGACGTGATCTTTCACTGTAGCTCATTTAGCCTTGATGGGAGCTGTTGAATGGGTGTAGCTAGAATTTACCTTGGTGTCACATGATGCTCCACCTGTTTCGACAAAAAGGGGCAAATTGGGGGCAGATGGGGGTATGCTAGAAATCAGCAGGTCGGGCCTAAATCAGCGCCTCTCCGTGGGGCTTTTCCGTGACCCCTTATACCTCATTAGCGATATCGGCGGACATGCCTGTTACGCCTAACAAGCCGTAAGAAGAAGGCTGACAGTTCAATTCGGCCAGAGCTCCCCAGAAGAGACCCGGTGGTTTCTGCAGTTGCTGGTGCGTGGCTTTATGAAACGGCCCCCACTCTCTTAACCAGATTAGCTGCTTTTACAATAACCGCGGAAAGTGGGCCAGATGTCCGTGTGACTGGTTGTAAAGTCTCTAATGTCTGCCATGTTTATCTGGGAGTATCCTTGAGCAGCCCGGCCCGCTTAACAGGATTTCTTTTTTAGGACCCTCTAGTCCTTCAGTAGTCAGGACATGGTGGCGTAGTTATGGAAGGGGGGGGGACCATGGCAGGGCCATAATGTCCATTTTCCCTTAAACACCCAACAATTTTTCTTGTTGGATTGACAAGTAGATTATATTTACTGTAATTTTCTACAGTATATGTCAGTGTATGTTGTGTTTATGGAAAACATGTAATTTGTGTGTGTCTTTCAGTGAATTTAAATTATGAAATGAAAGGTTTTCATAAAGGAAGTTGCTTCTTTCTGCTCTTTCACAATGACACATTTTTTGTACGTATAGTAGTTTATTCATTTTTTTGGTGTCACTGCATCAGCCTCCGGTTGTTACCTCTGTTCCATTAAACCTGGCATTTATTGTTTTAGCCATGTTCCATTTCCCTGCTGTTGCTCAGGAAGTCTGCTACCTGCACTGTGACTCTGGCCATTTGCAATGCAGTGTTTTTTTTCTGTTCCTCAGTTACTGATTGAATCACGCTTGGTGTTCATCTAGGGGCTTGTTTTTGGACTGTCTAACAGTGTCTTTTGTATATTCGTTAGGTACTGATATAAGAATTCTTAGCACTGAAAGTAGGTACCGATTGGGTTTGTGTTTCTTGTCTACTTTATGGAGCATTATTAAAAGGAGTTTTCCAGGTATCACTGAAAGTTTATATATGCATAATATGTGTAAAATGTGTGAAATTCCCTTTTGGTGTTTTGTCCAGTAAGAGATAGATAATTGAAAGTGTGATAATTTCAGTACAAAATACTGTTTACAGTAAAGTGATATGTAACCCGATTGTCATATGATGCATATTTATGTACCAAAACCCCACATTTCAATCATTTTAAGTCATGATAGTAATATCACTTATTCAAATGCCTTTAAAATTTAAATCATGATAGTAATGTCACTTATTCAAATGTCTTTAAATGAAGATGCTACAACAAAGTGTTAAAACATTTATTACACTCCTTGATAAGTAGTAAGGAAATATGTATTTTATTTTTATTTTTTTTTGAGAGAGAAAGGCATTTATTACCCCACTTAAATAGAAAATATTTGTGGGCCCTCAGCAGCTAATAGGAGAAACACTAAACTTCTGTTAATTACGAAGATGAATAAATATACAGAAGGTGTAGTTTTCCTTCTGGTGTCTATGAGCTTGTGTATGGTACAGGTATCATGAAATTTCTTAAATGTGGATTATTAATGAATTGACAGCACAAATACTGCTAAAGGACCTTAATTAGCAATACCCCAAACAAATTTACAGTGTTATAGAAGAGCTTCAGTTATGCATACCACAAATGAATGAACAATACTACTATAGGGCTGGAATGAACTACATTACTACATAATTAACAGTACTACTATATGATGAGAATTATCACTACCACAGAATTTACAGAACTATAATAGGGCAGGAATTGACACTAATGCAGAATTTTACAATATTTCT